AATTTGATTAAATACGTTTTTTTACTATGTCCCGCTTTTGACGGAAGAATCCCGCTATTTTCACTCAAAAAGTACCAAAGTCCCGACTTGGCGAAAAAAAAAACTGGCAACGCTGATACACACCGAGTACCTACCTACTTGGCCGAGAGCACTGTCTCGCCCGTTTGCTCGGTACGTGTAATCATATACTCACCTATTGTTTTATTTAGCTTTTTTTATCTCCCTGTAGCCTATAAACCCTAAATTGTTATACCTCGTTGGATAGCTGATGAAACGTAGATATTATTAACCACATCTGCAAAACAGGCGCCATATTATTTTTTAAAGATATCCTTTAAAAAAAGAAAAATAACTTTCAAATTTTTCATTAGTTTTAATAAGTTTTAATCGTCTACAACGACTTATTTATTCATGTTACGTACAATATTGCTTATTGAGGTCATAAAGCATTTTGTTTTACATGTAAATATCGAATAATAGTAATAATAAGACTTACAAATTTAAAAATATCTAAGCTGATAGCCAAAAATCGGGAAATATTCATAAAAAAACAATTAAATTCAAATTACTTGAAAACGGTAAGATTTAGGATGGGGTGTTTCCATAGCTGGGCACCGTTAATCAAATAGTTAACTTCGTTAATCGTTAAACCGTTAATAAAAAAATTAACTTCGTTAAACGTTAAATCGTTACATTTCGTAAGATTTAACGCAAGTTAACGTTAATCGTTAATCCGTTAACACATGATAATAAAACGAAAAAAATAATTGTATGCAAGGTTCAAATAATTTGGAAAGCTTGTATTGCGCATGGAATTTATTCCACTTTTATATTTGCGCTACAAGCTTTCGAAATTATTTGAACCTTGCATAAATAAATAATTTTGAATTCTTTTTTTTTTATTATTTTTTTCGTTTTAGTACAACTGCATTTCAGAATAAAAGCTTGTTTTTAAAAAAGTTTTTTAATTAATATAATTTTATTTTATACTTTTTAGTAGTACCTATCTCAATCTCAGAGCCTTGGTTCAATTACAATACAATTTAGCACCAAAGTGCTCGAAAAGACAAATCCAGCAAACCCAAACTCGATAAGTTTCCACCGTTTCGTTTAGGAATTCCTATGGCCACCTCCTGACTCCATCATCAGGACCCTGGACATCATCTAGTACTAAAGTGCTGATAAGACAAATCCAACGAACCTAAATTTGATGCGATGCCGCCGTTTCATTTAGGAGTTCATATGGCCACCTCATCATGACTCCATCATCAGACCAGCTCAATGGTACCATAACAGCATTGTCATCGTACTTACATAAGTATACCAAATTTCAGCTCAATCGGTTCAGGAAAACTGGTCTTAAATTCAGTTGCAAGAGTTGTCCCACACATACTAATAAGTGTCGTTAGTGATTGTTGTTTTGGGTTCTGGAAGCCCGAACGTACTTGTCAGAACGCGTTTTTCTACCGTTTTTCAGCGTGCCTGCTGTATCTTTTTGGTAAATAGTAGGTACCGGATTAACGATTAACGGACTTAGGATAAATTAACGGAAGTTAACGAGTCCGTTACCATTTTTAAAGTTAACTTAAAAGTTAATCCCAATGATATTAAAGAACTATAGATATGTTACGTTCATAGAAATTACGATTTGAATCCGTGCCGAGCTCACAGAATAAGTAATAGTACAGGTACAGAAGGATTACTCCGCAAGACGATTTAAATAGGTAAATGCGAGTCTTGCTACGACGCGATACAGTGGAATTCAGCTCGCACAGCACTACGTACCTACAATTTTATTCACCTACAAGTTTTGTCTCTTTCTATCGCGTGCCTCTGAACTCTTCTTACGCTGTTAGGGTTGCTGTCTAGTGAAAAAATATTAATCTACTTATTTGTAATGAGGTACGTATGTAGGTAAGTATGCATTCATTATGGAAAACCTTGGAAGAGGCCTTTGTCCAGCAGTGACGCATTCTGAGCAGTAGTCATAGTAGGTTAGGTTCCTATACTATCCTAAGAATTATTGATTACCCACTTGGCCAACATACCTTTCAGCATCTTTGGGAAGGTAAATTACTTTAATTAAATGGTAGATTACTTTTCGAATTAAAACACCCGAACGCCGCACAATATTTCTTTCTCTTTATGTCCATTTTTAAATAATACTTCGATCATAGAATTATAATCATACTACAACGCACGCCAGCGTCCTGACGAGCGCGCGCGTGACACTCGACTGATATAATACCCGCCGGCGGGGCGCTTCGCTGTAGGTAGTATTGATTGCGTTTATTGGTATTGTCTTTCATGATTTATGTACTTTTTAATGTGTCCGAAACACTTTTCATAGCATTTTTTCCACTCAGCTTGAGGCACCTCCAAAGCATGGTTTTCGACCGCACCGACAGTTGCTTCTGGCTACATAAATCGCTGTTCACGAGTTTAATTTTAATATATGGGTACTAAAAGAAGTGTTTAGATTCCAAGCAAGAATTTTGTAGCGTTGGACCTGTTTATTTCATATTTTGAGTGTTCAAATAATCAGTTGTTTGACGAGACGTGTAAAAGCTCACATTTTCGTCACGAATGGCGATTCGACTATGCTGGCCAGTTTCCCTTATTAAACTGAAGACTTTTGGAAAAAAATGCATGTATACTATTAAGAATTAACCATTCTAAATTTGTCTAGTGACTTTTCTGTCATATAATCGGATATTTCGGAAAAATAGGCGCCCGTAAGTTTCAAAGTGATCCGAGCGCATGGGACTTTTGTTGGAATTGGTTCATCTTAAAACACCTCCATAGTCGATAGTTGTTTATTTTCAGGATCATTATGCAAAGATCCTTAATTCGTCAACTGTCACAGTTTTAAAAACGGCTTTTAAAGCTTTTTAAACGTATTTATCAAACNCTTTGAATTCAATAAATAAGTAAGTACATGATGCGTTTTGTTTTTGTTAGTTATAAAATAATTAAAAACGTATTAAAAATTTCCCTACTTTCGGGAAAATCGCCTTTACTGTCTACACTCCCCAACAAAATTGACACTAATGACATAAGATTTTTGCCTCACTCTTGACGAAGCGCTTGTATGAAGACTATCCATCTAGGTTTTATTAATCTAAGGCTGTAGGTAATTATCGGATGTACCGCGCGGAGTGAGCCAGGCCTGCCGAGCTATTCCAAATCGCACACATTGACAAATGTAACTGATAAGTGAAACAAAAGATACGAAATAGCACGCAAATGAAAGAGATAGCTATAGTTTTAACGATTCTGCACTAACTAATCTATGTCCGTAGCGCACGCATCCTTATCGCTCTAACGTCAAAACAAGATCGCTTTCTCTACAACTTGAACATGGCGCATGGCGTCTTGATTGTTTGCATAAATAATTGAAAACATAAATACTAAATAATTTTGCATAATCACATGTGGTAAGTGATCCCTTGTATTTTGTTTACTTTAGAGTCATAATTGGTACACTTTCGAAACACACACGATGGCATTTTTTATTTATTTTGGTAAGAACAGGAACTTACGGTGTGGTACGCACGCGATTGCGCACGACGTAGGCCACTCAAAGACTAAACACAAGACGTCCCAATTGGGACGTATTTGAGTATTCACAGCGCGAGCGCTTATAACATATCTGCTTTTGTTTTTACGTGGGACACTATTTAAGTTGTGAGCCTAACTATGAAAACAAAGTAGTCGAAAATTTCCGCAAGTCAATTCCATGTTTTTGTAGTCATGATAATTTTCAATTCAATGTTAATAATACAAAACGTGCTCAAATGATAAAAAGTTTTGAATAAGGTTGTAGTCAAAAATGTCAAACTTTTCATTAAAAGTATCAGATGTCGTCTAACAACACGTTATGTTGTCGAGGCTCACAACTTAAATAGTGCCCTAGTATATAATATCATTGGTTAATCCGTTAATAGAAAGGTTAACTTCGTTAATTAACGATTAACGGATTAACGAGTTAATGCCCAGCTATGGGTGTTTCATAGTCAAATCAGTCAGAATTTCAGAAACGATGTAAACTACTCGCCCTTAACGGGAATAGGTCGACTTAACCTGTAACCCATATAACTTTACTTACACATTTTTATTTTTAATATTTTTAATTAATACGTACTTATTGATTATATCATTAATAAAATTTAATTGGTTTTATAATTAGAAGCAGAACACAAATGAAAACTTTGCAGAACTGGAAAAAAATATTTTAACTATTTTCACGCGTTCTGTCGCAGGCACAGGCTAGCCACAGATAAAATATCCTAGCTATCTTAAATAAAGTTACCAATATTAGAATAAGTAGTCTAGCAAATAAGTGCCTAAATCATCGCAAACCAAATGTAATAGAAACAAATAAATAAACTCAATTTGCCAAACATATTTCAACTATTGAACATTGACCTTATAAAGGTCAAGGTTTAATTCGGAAGTGGTCAGACGAGTTTGTACGTCACAAAATATTACAAATGATTAGGGTGAAATAGCTAGTATTCGGCCATTAATTCGTTCATTCACTTTATTCGTTCTAAAAAATTATGTAGTGGCGCAAAATACGCGCAAAGGGTACCTACCTGGTTGCTTTCCTCGCTTTAGGCGATTATGAATAATTTCATTTTTATACAAGCTCGCTTGTCAAACTCTTCTAACTTAGCATAAATAAGATGTAGTTTAGTTAGTACACAAAATAGGCACAATACATCTGGCTGGTGTCTTTTATTTCACTTAAATGTTCGTTCAGCCAAATGACATCCACTGCTGGAAGGTCTCCCCCAAGAACTTCCATATCTGCCAGTCCTTACTCAAATGTATTTTTGATAAATTTTAAGACAATGAAAACCAAAACTATACTAGAGAGTAATGTTTATGCACGTAATAACATTGATACTATTTCCAACGAAGTAAGACAAGGTCGTTATTTGTGTCGTTTACCCTATGCTGACTAAATTGCCAGCCCACGGCCTCAGTCAGTTCGCAGTGCTCGTTGATACTATTTGTAAACCGCGCGGTTTGAGACAAACAAACGTACGCGTTAAATCTACCTTCGCTCTTTCTTAATTATCTATTTTAACCAATTCAGTATTCACGCCAAAATATACCTTAACATATCGTCATTAGTGTTATAATCGTTCGACAATTCACGCGAAAATGTTCATCCAATCAAAGTGCAGCGCGTAAAGCATAATATTGCATGAACTATTCTCACGAGAGTTACGAGACTGCCTTGAATCAACACATGCAAAATTGAACTTAAGATGATTTGCACACCGATCTATAACGTCGTGGCATAGACAAGATCCAACCTATTCAACCGGAGCGCATTGTAACGAACACATTTTGGAGTCTATAAAGTGGCAAATAATCAAGACAGTTATACGAAAATACAGATAACGATAAAACAACGTTATTATTAGATTATTATTAGATAAAAATAATACACCACACAGAACAGAATAATCGTGCTGTCATAATATTATCGTGAGTTAGAATACTCGTAACATGGCGTCTCTGCGATTCGAAGGTGCGCTGCAAAGCCTCAGTGAAAGACAGGAACAGTTTATTCGTGAAGTGCTTAAAAACAGAGGATTTGTGGACAATAGGGTGTTCTTCGAAGCAGCAGGCAAAGCAGGTGACAACTATGTAGCAGCTGCGTTAAGGGTGACTGTGAGCGTTGATGGAGGTGATGATTTCAAGATGATCGCCAAAATCGCTCCTCAAAACCAAGATCTACGTAACACTATGAACACAGCGTTGGCTTTTAGTAACGAAATAGTAATCTATGAGCAAGTGTTACCGAAACTTAGAAGTCTGCAACTAGCGAGTGGAGTGCCAGAGGGTGAGATATTGAAATACGCTAAGTGTTATGGCTGCCAATCAGAAGAACCAAACGAGGTGGTTCTGCTCGAAGACTTGAAGCCTTTGGGCTACGTCATGCTGGACAGACTTGCCCCAATGAGCGAGGAAGCCGTATTATTGGTTCTGAAGAACTTCGCCATCTTACATTCCTTGTCCTTTGCTCTAAAAACTTTAGAACCTGACACATACAAAAAATTCACCAGCAAATTAGCTCATATTTGGAGTGCTATTACTGGTAAGCAGGAGTTTACAGATTATATGGGACAGTTAGAAAACAGCACGCTCGATATATTAGGAGACGAATCTTACAAGAAACACCTTCGTGGTGTACTCACTCAGACAGACAGCTATGTGCAGAAATGTAAAAAATCCGAAACATCGAAATATCTTGTTATTCATCAGGGAGACGCTTGGACGAACAATATTATGTTCAAATTAAACGTAAGTTTAACCGATAGTTACCTACTTAATTTTAATAAAATCCAATTGATTACGACCTTTATCATATTAATAATTGTTTTTATGTATTTTTTACTATCACAGTTTTTCCTTCGGTACCACAATATATTTCAGAAGCAAGCAATTACTTCATCTAAAGTCACTTTTAATATTTTAGGAATTTTTATTTGGTATGAAATTTTATGATACATGAGTAAAACGACTATTACTCTTAAACTAACTGATCTATCTTAACCGCTATAGTTTTCCTTGAAAGTTTATAAAAAGCACTATTATCAAGAATTTTTTCAGATTTTTCAAGCCAATATTTTAGTTTTAGAGGGGGGACGCCCTACTCGAACAAAAATTGGCACTTTAAACTTTAAAATTTTGCAAACGGATCCCTAAATCGAAAAATGGTCTTAGAAACCAGAAGCCATTTTAAAAGACCTATCTAACGATACCCTACCTACACGATGGGGTAGAAGAAGAAAAAAGTCATCCCCACTTTATATGTAGGGGAGCAACCCTAAAAAAAATTGTACAAAATTTTATTCTACCGTTTAGTCGGCGTGATTAATACATATAATTATACATAGCTCCCCAAATTTATAGCTCTCTAGTGCCAATAGTTTTCAAGCAAAACCTCGGACAGACAGACAGACATATCGAAACTATAAGGGTTTCTTGTCAGGACTACAGAACCCTAAAAAGACGTAAGTAGTTTTAAAATCCAGGAAATCTTTATACACATAAGAAAATGTAGATCATACCAGAGTATCATACTCTTTATAACTCGTGGAACCAAGTGGTCGCATGAGACCGCGGTAAAATGTACTTGACGATCTAATAACATTTTTGGGACCTAGATGAATAAAATAAAATGATAAACATTGACATCAAACTAATTGTATAGGATTAATCTATCGCTATCAGGCCCGTATTTCGATAAGTCGCTAAAACTTGATTCAACTTCAAGCTTAGATCCTATGACCGATTGAGTTGGAATCAAATTGTGAGCTTTCTTCCAGAATACTAGTTCGTTCGTTTCAGCCGAAAGATGTCCACTGCTGGACAAAGGCCTCCCCCAAGGATTTCCACAAAGACCGGTCCTGCGCCGCTTGCATCCAGGTACCTCCCGCGACCTTCACCAGATCGTCGGTCCACCTAGTGGGAGGCCTACCCACGCTACGTCTTCCAGCTCGTGGTCGCCACTTAAGAACTTTCCTGCCCCAGAATACTAGTATTAAACTCAATTTTTCACTATTTCAGGGTCAAACACCATCAGACGCAATTATGATCGACTACCAGATGTCCTCGGAGACAACCCCAGCAGGGGATATCCTCTACTTCATGTTCAACTGCACCAGCCACGCTGCCAGGTCGAAGCACTACCGCGAATGGCTTGGCTACTACCACGAGCACCTTGATAAATCATTATCCAGGTTTGGTCTCAAAGCCAAAAACGTTTACCCCAAAGACCAGTTAGAGTCAGACATGAAAAAATACTCAATGCAGTACTTCGGTTTTGCTGTCATGCTGTACAGCGTATTACTAAGAAACCCAGAGGAGGCTGCCAAAATGCACGAAGCAATCAGCAACCATGAGGTCGAGAAAATGGAAGGCATGCCGATACAGAGTATGAGTGGTAACACCATCAATAAGTTCAAATCCAAAGTTCAGGACTTGATCGACAGTTATATTGAATTTGGATACATTTCTTAGATATTAAAGATAGAATAGGATGGTTAACTTGTAGTTATGAATATTTACTTAAAATGTTAAACTCAGTTCTATCAGTTCTATGGCATTACGAGTAGATATTATATTCGTAGATGGAACATATTTTCTTGTAGACCACACAAGAAAATAAAAGAGAGAAATACTTTAGGACATGCTAATACCTACTAATCGATAGTTCAAGTTCAAAGCAAAACTTACTTCCCTACAATATCACGATAGTATCGGGACGTGTCAATATTATCGATACTGTCGATAGTTTACGTTCAATAATATTGTTTACATCTAAACTCTCGATATTAACTGTCTTCCGTAGCGATACTTGTGCCTGTAGACAAAGCAATATTCGTGTCAGGTTCAATTTTCGTGATCGTTTCATACAGCAAACCAATTAAGTAGTAGATATAAAAAAGACGTGACTACGAAATCGAATCTGTCACGAACATTACTTTGCCTAGAAGACCACTCACGTAATTTAGGGGAAAGTAGTACGAGTTGATCCCCTGGGGTAAGATGATCTTTCGCGATTGTGCTGAAACCACTAACGTCATTTAGTTTCTTTCACTGGTAAAACATAGCTCTGGACACATCCCCGCCTCAGTCAAATCGTAATAGTGGCGTGAGCGATACATCGAATTTGACGAGAAAAAAGAAAAATTGTGTACTTCTGATCTAAAATAGGCATGACTTTCAGCTTATGTTACTTTTATTCAAACAATGTTAAATGTAATTACTGTTGTCGTTAGGCTTTCTATTATGTTTAATTTTAATATTTTGGCCATAAAAACGTAGCCGCTTACTTGTAGATTATTTTAGCAAATATTTAACAAAAAGTGGGACTTGGGTCAAGATGATCCCTTCCTATATGTACGAGATGATCCCTGGGAATTAAAACAAAAAAGTCTATGGAGTAGGTAAAGGGAAGTGAAATAAAAGAAAGAGAACTTAATATAACTCACCTGAGTCTGAAGGAGATGATACTGAGTGACTGTACTGAACAGAAAAGTTTTCAAGCGATACCAAGGGTGAAGGATAGATAAAATGTTATGCATGTGGAAAATGGGGCCATAAAGCATGTGCTGGGGTAGAGGGTGATGAAGCAGGTGAATTTATTTGTGATATATTCAACACAGCTCCAGCCAAAAAGCGTTTCAATTATTTAAACGCTTTTTAGCAGGTACTAAGAAAGAATCAGTTATTTTCGTTATTTAATTCGTAAATGTTTTTCTTTTCTAACTTTTTAACGATTTGTTCGCATAATTAGGTACTCCGAAAGGAATATAACCAGAAAAGAATAGATCATAGAACAGAATCATAGGGATCATCTTACCCCTACCTGGGGGATCATCTTACCCACAGGGGTGTACAAGATGATCACTTTGTAAGGTTTTGCAAAAAATGAAATATTTTAATGAAACCTCAATTAATTTCTGGTTTTGAGTATAAGGAAAGTTGGATAGATAAATATACTAGTAGTAATCGTCTTTATTTTTGGTTTACCTTGAAAAATATGTATTTTACAGCGATTCCCGCTTAAGGGGATCATCTCGTACTACTTTCCCCTACATATTAAATAAAATATCGGAGGTACTTTCAATTGTGTGGATAGTATTGACACAGTGGGGGCGTTTGGCCGAAACTAGAATTTGTTAGCAAAATGGCGATCGCCATGGCAACCGCCGAAAACTTTAGCATATTTTTTAACTTCAAAAGTGACGTACCTATTCCCATACATTTTCGCACAGGTCGCCATTTTTCTTACTAGCGCTAACAATGCTATTTTCGGCCAAATGCGCCCAGTGTTATATTGATATCGATGTCGCTATCCTAATAGTTCTCAACTATCGATAGTTATACAGCACTATTTGATTTGATTTGATTATTCTCTCGAGTGAGTCCAAATGAACTGTCCGATTCATCTTTTAGGATTATTATGACAAAGTGTCATATTTTTTATTAAACTTATACATTCTTTTCTATGACAGCATTTAAAATAATTAACTATAAATGACTGTGGAATTTAATGTGAATATTATGATTTTTATGTTTTGTCTATGACAGCGTCATAATAAATGGAATATCGTGTAATATCACATGAATGGAATTAATTGTGGAACTTACGATGACAATTAAATAATTTTAGATTAGCAATATTTGTTTAATTTTTGCAATTCAACTATTTTAGCATGGCTTGTAACAACTAAGATTGTAACAATCTGACCAAAGGTACAGCAATCTATACTAATATTATAAATGCGAAAGTAACTCTGTCTGTCTGTCTCGTTTTCACGCCTAAACCACTGAACCGATTTTGATGAAATTTGGCATAGAGATAGTTTGAGTCCCGGGAAAGGACATAGGATAGTTTTTATCCCGGTTTTTGAAACAGGGACGCGCGCGATAAAGTTTTTCTGTGACAGACAAAATTCCACGCTAGTTACTTTATAAATATACTTACTTCAAGGTTTCAAGCCTATACTGTAATATCCTAATCAGTGGTAACAAATCCCCAAAGTGAATTTTGTCTGGGAATCGAACCCAGAACCTCTGCAGCTAGTTATGTGTAATTAACTTCAATTTTCTAACTAATGGTTCGTTCGTTGGTTTCAGCCGAAAGACGTCCACTGCTGGACAAAGGCCTCCCCCAAGGTTTTTCACAAAGACCGATCCTGCGCCGCCCGCATCCATGCACCTACCGCGACCTTCTTCACCAGATCGTCGATTCACCTAGTGGGAGGGCTTGCCCACACTACGTCTTCCGGCTCTAACTAATCGTTAATTAACAGCAAAGTTCATTCAACTTTTCATCGGCCGAAAGACGTACAATCCTCTTCCAAGGAAGATTATTTAGAAGGAGTTTAAAGTTTAAATATTCATCTACCTATTTTATCTTTAACCAATAGTTACAGAATACTTAAGCCATGTATTCATTAGGCAACATTTGTTGATAAACACTGTTTATAAACTGTTCATAAACAATGTTTCATCTCTGTAAACAGTTTACCTATAAACAGTCCATAAACATAGGTGATGAAACATTGTTTATGATACAAATGTTGCCGTGCTCCCCGCTATGGCTAAGTGGAGAGCAATTGTGGACGGCCAAGTTTCAGAAACCTCTGTTTATGGTAAACTTGTTTCACACAGTCATAAACAGTTTATCCACTAATGAATACATGGCTTTAACCTTTAACTTTACCCGAGTAAACTACCGATTGAAAAACTCTCTTTAAAGCTCTTAAAACTGTGACTTTTAATTTCGTCTCCTTGAATCTTCAATATCGGCTGGAGGGTACATAAATTAAGGTATTGAGTCCTCAAAAAAGTCAATTTCGCTCTTGACAGCGATTAAAGTAAGTATTACTTGAGCCTAAGATTTATACCTTAATATAGGTGCTTTGTCTTTAGATCTGTTAACTGAAGCGTGTTTTCGAAATTAATTCTGATTTATTACGTTCATGAGTATCTGTGCAAATTGATAATATTTCAATTTAAAGAATGTTCTCGTAGAAAGAATGTTCAGTTAATATTTTACAGATGTACCTGTGATGTTTAAACTATGAAATGAAAATAAACTAAGGCTGAGTTGCACCACCTACTTTTGACCGTAACTTTAACGATAACCGGTGTTTTTTGTATGGAGTTTGACAGATTTTTGACGTTTGTCAAAGTTAAAGTAGGATGGTGCAACCCTTAATAATCTTTTATTGGGCAAGTCAAACATGAACTTTATTAATAAAGCCTAGATGGATAGTGTTTATAGAAGACAAGCGCTTCGTCTAATAAAGTGAGGCAAGAATATTATTAATTTTTTGTCATTAAAGATGATTTTTTCGAGTGGGAGAGTTTTATGTTATACAATTTTTACATTTAAATAAAACAATCAAAGTCGGATTTATTACTTGATGGGATGTAATGTTTCAAGTGGACCAGAAATGTTCCCTAAAATATGCCTCACTTTTCTTGTATCTTTATAATCAATGACGTTAAAATACATTTATCTCGTCACATGTCCATTAAAATGATTCATGACAATCGCCAGTGATATCAACTGTTGACAAGCTCTTGATTGCTATTAAAACAATTCCTCGCTAAAAGTACGCCAAGCTAAAAAAACCGGGCGCTTATTTTCTGAATCGTTCGTTACGTAATCTTTTTCTAAAAATAAAATCCCAACTGCTTCAAATATCACTCATCTCCAACAACAAAGCTGAAAGAAATAAAAATTCCCTTTTCCCCGAATACAAATGAGCCAGTCGATTAAAAGCATAATGTGATCTATAGCTAGGGTTGTCGATTTAACAAATTTTATCTTTTTGTTTCATCATGGCCTAAGCTCCCGCAATGATCCCCTGCATCCAGCGCCTTCCTATTAGCATCAAGGTAGCAGGAAAAGTCATAAACTACAAAAAGTTTTTATTAAGTAAATAATTTTCTAACTAGTGAAGTATCATCACCAATGGCAGTCCACTACTGGACGTCCAGCTGCGTCTGCATAAGGTCGTCGGTCCATCCAGCAGTTGGTGCTTGGTATCCATTTGAGATAGTGTTTTTACTCCACCTGTTGTCGGTTCTCCAACCATTGGATATGACCATTCCAAGAATTGAGAACAAATACGCCAATGCAAAACTTTATAATTGCCATTTCGTTCACCGCACCTATGAATCAAACTTATGACCTTTGAGTCGCGATCCAACTTTAAACACCAGACCTTGCTTTTCGTCTCGACAATTTTCAGCTACACGTAGCTAGAATCTATATTTTTTTAAAATTGAATAATTGTTTTTTTTTTTTAATTAAAAAATAGAGTTTTTAATTTTACAATACCTATCAAATAAACAAGCCCTACATGACAGCCCTAACTTAAGAAAGTACAAGTAACTGTCGTTCCGTCGGCACGACCAATAAAAATGCAAAGAAATGCCACCTATTCTTTCTCGAGCTAACTAAATCGCTGTGTTAAGGGTACTGCCTCTCTGATAGCGAGTAAAACTTTATAGATTAAAGAACAAATAATAGTTATTCAAAAAACCGACGAAAAGATTTGATTTCGGTATTTTTTATTACTTAAAAAACAATTTTTCTTTCTTTCTAAAAGGCTGGAAGTGCCCTTGCGCTTCCTTTGGCTCATCTTGGCGGCTGCACTACCTTTAGGACTTACCCCCAGAATACATTCAACATTAAAAACTTTGACTTTTTGAAATGCTATTCTTCCATAGCATTTCAAAAAGTCAAATGTTTCTCTTTTTCACTTACTTGGCTTGGCTGTTTTGTGGATTTAAAACAAATTAAAATCTAATTTGATTATTGAATTAAAAGTAATATTTAACTTTTTTAGGCTCCATTTATTAGGAATTATAAATTGTTTTTAACTTTTTTAATACATAATAATAACCACTTGTACTTATGTAGCATTTGATTTTAATCGACTAATCATTCACTAACCTATTGTTCCAGGAAGGAAAAATTTCCGTGCTTTTAAGCGATTTTGTGAAAAATATTATTGGCAGGTAGTTGCTAATTGCTCATAAATAGGCCCCCTTAATTGATATTTATTGTCCGTGGTGCTTAAAATCTTTTCTTATAGGTCTTAAACCTTTGTTTGTCACCTGTCATCCGCTTTGCAATGGAGGGAAGTCGAAACTTAATTTCGAACTCCTCCTATGTTCTTCTGATTAATTTCGTTGCGGGTCCAATGACAGTTTAACTTTCCCCCGGGACAAACTTGACCTTCACTGGTTGGGTTTTTGTGGCGATCAGGCTGTAGATCCTGGCTACACAGGAGTTGCAGTGGTGGGAACGAGAGGTGGGACTGGGAATAGTCCCGTAACCTATTGTTCCATACTTTTTAAATTAAAATGTCATAAAGAGGACCCCACCCTAAAAGCACTCGACATTTTTTAACTTGCAATTATTATTCCGATTCGATTGGCGGATTCGAGCGCTGTCGTAATTGCCCTTGCGATAAATTTCATTTCTTTCATAATTAACCTTCTTCTTAGTTTTAACTTAGGTATAGCATTTACTTAATCTTACTTAATACTATAAATGCGAAAGTTTGTATGGATGTCTGGCTGGATGGTAACATGTTTGTTACTCTTTCACGCAAAAACTACTGAACGGATTTTGATGAAATTTACAGTATTATTCTTTATAACCCAGAATAACATATAGGCTATAATTTATGACGATCTGTGACAAACTAAATTTTACGTGGGTGAAGCCGCGGGCAAAAGCTAGTTTACTAATATTATTTAGCCAACTTATAACAATTATTATTAAATTTGAAAATTATAAATAACTTGAAAAAATCGAACTGCCTAAGGCGGGAATTGAACCCACGAGTCAAGTTATTTATAATTTTCAAATTAGTTGGAGATGCGACTCTTAACGCTAAAAATTAAATAACTATTATTAAATTGTTACGTTATTGAAAATTAATTTACTTTAATTGAAGCCGTAATAAAATGAAAATAGGAATACCTATTTAAAAAAAACATCAAATTGTATGATTTAAAACGTACTTTAATAAAATAATATTTGAGACTGGCTTGTAATCTAATAAAATATAAAAATATTAAAATCATAAACACGAAATATAATAGAAAAAATGCATAAACAAAATTTGATGTACCAAAAAGTAGGTCCCACCGAGATTTGAACTCGGATCGTTGGATTCAGAGTCCAAAGTGCTAACCATTACACCATGGGACCGATGAGGGCAGCGGCGAAAGAGCTAATGATAAGACGCGAGCGGTGTAGCACGCATGACCTCATATTAAATGTAGCGCGCTATCTCGCTCGCACGAACAGATTGATCAGTTTGCGGGCACAATACAGCGAATGTGTAAATCGGCTACTTCAAAACCACGAACGTGTTAAATTCGGTGTTTTTAGTGCGTGATCAAGTTTAGTACCTATTCATTTTAGACTCTATTTTTCATTGGACAGAAAATAATGTTGAAATTACCAGGGGTGGCCAACCGGTCGATCGCGAATATTAGTCCAGTCGATCGTGGCAAGGCAAAAAATACTACATGATTGTGTACTTAACTATGCTGTTTCATTAGTAGGTAGGTATGTAAGTGATAGAACGCCCAGGGTTTCGTGAGTAAACAGTAGATCTTATGTAGTTATATAATATAT